AAATTGTGACTCATTCCTTAATCATCTGAATGCCATACACATCACTTAGATTAGTTAAGAAGTTAGGCTATTCTGGTTTCAGAGCCCACTTGTATTTTAATCTGTGTTTGTTTGTTTGCTTTTGGGGGGCTCTCAAGGCCCAGTCTTTCCATCCCCCAGGAGCTTCATTTCTCTGTTGAGTTGAGACTTTTAAAGTTTTACCAACCTACAGTACAGTTTCCTCCTATATTTTTATTTTTAGGCTTCACCTCTGGGATAAACCCATCAGTTATGAAGAACACTTAGCCCACTAGTTATGAAGGAGAACATTATATTCTTAGAGCTCAGTGAGATTACCATTTAGTTCTTAGTGCAGCCATCAATTTTCTAATTTCTAATCTCATTACTTTTGCCTCTTTATACTGATATTTTTCTGAAGTAGGAAAGACCTAAAGATCACTTGTGATCAATGTTCAGATATACTTCTCAAATAAAATCCACCCCTACTAAAGCTATTAGGGCTTTCATGCCCACTTATTTGTGGGCTGGGTCCAATATCATGCTCATTTGTTTTTAAAAATATACTTTTCAAGCAGTTAGAAAGACTTTGCCTCTCCCTCGCAGGGCATAGGAATCGTATTGAAGGCTGGCCATGTCAATGTCTGTTGCAAGCACAACCTCTTTAAATGTCATTCCTCTGGTGAACTGTCTAGAGGAAATTGTGAACTCTCTAATGGTGTCTTAATGCCTTATCAACCACCCAGTCTCGGGAAATGATTCTAATAAAATAATTTCACACTTAAAGCCTTCCTCTTAAGAGAATTCTCCTTACTGATAGTGCGTGCTTTCCTTGGGAAAAGCTGCAGCTGTGCTGGCAACCATAGTGTGCTGTGATTTATATGCTATCAATCATAGGCTGTGTAATAATCACATATGTGTGATAATGGAGATAAGTATAAACCACTATTAGGGAACAGAGGAGAGAATGAATTCTTACTTAGGTGTGGGGATCCACAAAGGCTTTGTAGAGGATAAGTAGGAGCTGGAGTTTTGGGATTGGTTGGTCTTCAACAGGTGGATGAAGAAGGCAAGGAATGAGCGCCTCGTTGGTGTGATGTGATGCGGAGTGCACTTCCAAAAAAGAGGAGAAAACCTCCAAACCATGTAGTGTCTTCCTGACTGTCACACGTTTTTAACTTTGAGGGAAAATGGAAGAAAATCTATTGAACCAGTTGTTTTGGCTGTTTCAGTGTGATCACAACATTACTTATATGGACTGTCAAACGAGAGGTGAGTTCATAAAAGGATATTAATGTATCGTTTTTATTGAGCAAAGTAGCATTACAGAAAAGGTGATTTCAAAGGCGCGTGGCTCTTTCATTACCGCCCTCCGGGGCGATGTTTGATCACTGAAAACAGGCTGCTTTGTTCCAGTTGTCTCTGATGTTTGGCATTATCCAGAATACATATGCTCTGACTCGGGAAGAATCAGTCTGAACACTGAATAGATGTGAGACTCACATATTCAAAACACATATCCGGTGGTTACAAAGCAATGAATGCCAATTGAATATGCATGTCTATATAAGTGCAAACATATTTCAGACACGTCTCAGCAAAATTTTAAAAAGCAAATTACACCTGAGATTAGGAAAGCTGGCTATTTTTAAAATGCACCATTTTATATAAGAACTGAAGGAGAATATGTTTTAAGAGACATTATGCTGGTGATGGCAAGGTCTATTCAGTTTCAGAGGTTTGAGAGTGGCCATATGTCCATGTCACCTAACACAGACACAACTCTCGTGGTGGACATCACCGAACACTCTATATTAAAAATGAGCTAGCAGCCTTTGAGGTTCGACCAAACTGGAAGTCACAAAACGTAAAAGAGAATTGCTGAATGTTCGCATTTGGGTGAGTTTTTTTCCTTACATGACTGGAAGAAATGAATTTCTTTTTTTATTCTTTTTTCAAAAGGAAAGAAATGCTTAGAATAAGACTTAAAGAATCAAAAGTTTTGTATGTGGGGACCAATACTCACAGAATTTTCTCTTCATTGAATTCTCCACCTCCTCATCCCTGTGAATTGATATGTAATCTCCCATCAATTTATCATTTCACTTTGGATTCCATTTCAACCCTTGAAAGAAAGGCGATGTTCCGAGACAGGCTGTTGGATTTATAATACAGCTGCAATTAGATACTCATTGTGTTGAAATTAAGCCCAGAGGCTCTACCTGGAATTGGCTAGGATAAATTCTGTTCTATTTAATTTGACAAAGAGAAGTCTTGCCATGTGACTTCTCTATGTGAAATCCTTTCCTCTCCTGTGCTTGCTTAACGCATCTTTTTCCAAGGCCTTCTCTTCCGCCAAGCCCTTCCCTCTTAGGTTAATTTTGCAATTTTCTCAAAACAGACTACACACATTACGTACTTGTTGCCTAGACCAATGCTTTACAAACCTTAATGTACTTACAGGTCATCTGGGGACCTTGTTAAAAATGCAGGTTCTGATTCATCAGCTCCGGGTCTGGGCACGACTCTAACAAGCTCCCAGGTGACACAATGAACCACAGTTTAGATAGTGAATGTAAAGTACAAATGACCACTTCCTAACTTAGTACTTGGTCCTGGACCCTGACAACTGGAAATGTATGTTCTCTGACACTGAGGTTGCTTTGGAATTCGAATGGCTTTGATGTGTTGGTAATTTCACAAAGGCTGCATGGTCTGGCCTCCTTCTATCCACTTCCCTTGTTTCTTTATTCTTTCTTGTCACTTTATCTTCTTATACATAAAACTACTTGAAGTTTCTAGAATGTATAAGACTCCTTCTCATCTAGTGTCTTTTCAAATACTATTTCCTTTGCTTGTTTTAGGATCCTGTGATATTTCCTTTGAAATCTAGCTCAGCTGTTCTCTCCTTTAGGAATCATTCTCCAAATTCTTTCCCCTGTAACTGCTTACTTAAGTGTCTCTGATCTACTCCCACAACTCTGTATTGTAGAGGAGGATCTACTCTCCTCTACTCTGTATTTTCTATATTATAGCTGTATCATAGTCTGCTGCAATTATCTACCTACCTCATCCATTCTTCTGGAGTGGGGAAACTACCATACTTTTTATCTCTGATGCCTAATTCATCGCAATGTCTGACACACAGTAGGCTCTTATTAAAGTTTGCTGGCTGAAGGGATAAGGGAGATTGATGTGTTGTAGCCATGCTAAAATCTAATACAAGATCTTTTTTCTGGAAACTGAAATGGCACTAATAAAACTAAACTCATAAAAAGTTAAATGTAGAGTGAGCTAATACTGAAGATATAAAACGTTAGTATGTGGTTAATTGACAAATGAAGATCATAGCAAATATCTATTCTGAGATCATTGGAGCAAAATGTCACCATGGATTTTTATTATTTATTTTAATTCTTCAACTTCTTCCACAAAGGACTTGACACTGATAATAATGCTACGTATTGAGTTACTAAAAGTATGAGAATGGAAGTCGTTAAAGGAATTGTATGAGAAAAAAGAAGATTTCACAAGTACGGTACATACTGAAAGTTGGAGGGCCAGACAGAATAGACTAGCTAGTCTGCAAAAATATTCTTTGTCATATAATGGATGATAGTATTTGTGTGGTTGATTTTCACTTCCACTCTGCCTGATTTGTGCTCTCTCTGACATCTGTGGGGCGAGTGTCAGCTCTGTGTCCTCTAGCTTTTGGTGGGATTTCACTAACAGGGCATCCCAGAAGGAATATGTGGTCAGGACATTTATTCTGGTAGGTTGCCTAGGGCTGGCTGTGCTTTTATGTTCGTTTCTCCTCTGTGAACACCTCCCATGGTGGGCCTCCTTCAGTTATTTTAATGTGAGTGTGTTCCATTACCTGTTGGACTCACGTGCAGTTGTTTAAAGCTATATTGGATGCCAGGTCTAATCACATTTTTAATTATTATGACTATAATTGCCAAAAGTACTTTTAGTTTCTTACTATGCATCAGGTAAGAGTTTATGAGAGTGTTTAATTAAGAAAAATTCAGAAAAAGACCAATCTAAAATCTTGTCCTTACACATTTTAGATTTAATGTGGTAAACAGACCTAAACCATCTTAGAGGTAAAGGAATAGCGATATTAATCATATTTTAAAGTCTATGGTTCCTTAATGCTTAGTAGCGTCACTTTGATTTTATTGCTTAGTTGTAATGCAGTAATATGAAGGGGAAGCAGTTTGGGGTTGTTTCCTTTTTAGTAGGGATAGATCATCCAAAGCTGGCGTCTGTCTTCTTTCCTGTTGCTCCATTTTTCATTACGTCACTATCCATTGTCCTTGCATGATGGGCTGGTGGGTAAACGGATACAAAGCTCAACATTAGCATCTATGATGAAAGGTTTCTCAGGAAAGAGACTGAACTCACATGAAGCTTTCTTTGTTTATCTGGGGAGGTCCGCCTTAAAGTTATTGAGCATTACTTCCAGTTTATTAAAAACCAACAGATAAAAATGCACAAAAGTCTCATATTCATGAAAATAAAGAGAAACAGATCTAATAAATAAATGTGATGCTCTTAATATAAAGCCCACTGGGTAAGTCTCTCTGTCTTTGAATCTTGGATCATGTTATAATCCTGCAGAATTTACTTAGATCATTGTTTGCTTATTTGAGTCTACTTCTGTGACCCAGTAAAAATAAATCAGAAATCTCAGCAGTGAAAAACATATTTGTAGTTTGACATTGGACAGATGAGCTAATGTGCTAAAGAAATTGTAAATTCAATGTATAATAGTACAAAAATAAAATTGTTTATATTCTGTCCAGTGGATGAAGTGAAAATCCAACATCATCGCTGGAACATTGTGTGCATTTTGCCAAGCTTAATTAAATTTGTCTTTCGTAAGTAGCAAAGAGATGAACCGAATAAAAACACTTCATGCAAGGTTTTTGCTCTCGCTTTGTTCTGCAGCACTTAGCTATGTCTTAAAAATTATTTTTACTTTTCTCTCTCCCATTCAGGCTCTATTTATGAAATGTCTGGAAATGAATGCTGTTTTTCAACAGGAGAAGTGATTAAAATTACTGGTCTCAAAATTAAGAAGATCATAGCTGAGATTTGTGAAAATATTGAAAGTTGTGAGTCTCCACAACCATTTGAACTGCCTATGGATTTTCCAGGTAGTGTATTACAGCCATTTTACATTTGAAGAAGTATATTGTTGATAATTTTATCAGTTTAACTGAAAACAATGAACAAGTAGATGCTGTGTTTCCCACTCTAGTTCAATGGGTTAAAGAAATCAGAATTCTTGTAATTAACTTAAGGCGTCAAAGAAGACAAATACTTTATGCATTTTAATTACACATTCTTTATATAAGAATTAATCACTTTGGTTAATGTATTTAGTAACCTTTTAAAGTTAAATTTTTAACTGATATTTGAAAACATAAAAATTGCACATGTTGATATGGTAAAGTGATATATTGATATGTGTGTACACTGTGTAATGTTTAAAACACATCAAACAAACGCATCTTCTCAAGTATTTCTCATTGTTTTTTGGTAAAAATCTTCAACATTTTTCTCTTCTAGCTTTTGAAAATGTAGAATACATTGCTGTTATCCGTAGTCACCTGTTGTGCAATAGAAATTCTGTGCAAGCAGAAGTTCTATGTTCTTTGTTCACGTGTACATGTATCACACTGAGATAAAAGAAACACAGAAGAACAAAAAAATAGCCCAGAGTTGCTTTCTAGAAAATTTTTGACCAACTCTTTCACCTACTCTAGATATCTGGTTTTCTGTTCTTACTGTATATTGAACACCAGAGCATGTACATTATGGGGTAGTCACTGGTGATTTGCTTTCCTTATTCGCTAGATAAGATTTGTCAGTTTTTCTATAAAGGGCCAGATATTAAATATTTCAGGCTTTATAGTCAGATCATCTTTTCCAGATACTCCACGCTGATGTTATAACACTTAAGTACCTATAGATAATACACAAAACCACAGATGTGGCTCGATAAAGCTTTATTTATACAAATAAATGGTCATCTTGAGGTGTACTGTCAACTGTAATTTACTGACCTCTACTCTAAACTAAAAATCCTTTACAGATTCTTTCACACATATTACCCCATAGTTTTTTGGGTTTTTTGTTTGTTTGTTTGTTTGTTTGTTTGTTTTCCAGTACTGGGAATCGAACACATGACCTTGCGCTTGCCAGGCAGGCACTGTGCCTGTCCCTACATATTTTAGATTTAATGTGGTAAAGAGACCTAAACCATCTTAGAGGTTAAGGAACAGCGATATTAATTATATTTTAAAATAATATAATCCCCAGCCCAGACCCCATAGTTTTAGTAATAAGCCATATTTTCTGATGCAGAGAATATGCTCAGTATTTGATTACTGAATGGCTTATAAAGTAGGAAATGTAAAAATTTACGATACAGCATGTGACACAATGTGTCTGAAGTTTGATGTGTCTGGATTTGATGGAGGCTTTGTAACAAACAACAAGCTGAAGTTGGTTGTCTTCCAGAGCGTGGATTCTGAAGTCACATTTCAGTCCAATTCTGCCACTTCTTAGTGTTGTAAGCTTGGCAACAACTTTATTTACCCTCCTCTCATGTAAAATGGAAATAATACTTCTATCTATCTCCTGGTGTTGTTGGGAGAACTAATATTAAAATACATTCAAATTGCTTGGAACGATAGCTAGCATCCTGCAAGGGCTATTAAAAAGTGTCGATTTTTATTGCCATTATTAAGATTATTATTGCTATCATTCAAGGAGTCAGGAAAGGCTTTTCAGAGAATGTTATAATTCAGAGAATGGTATAATAAGCTGAAGTTTGGAGAATGAAAATAAATTAGCTATTTTGAGGACAACATTTTTCCAAGTGCTTTAATAACAAATCCCTTTCAATAGAAACCCTGCCCATTCTTTAATTCTAAGTAGTCCTTCCTTACTGCTGTGTTTTATAAAACAGGTTCCCATACTTGACCGAGCTGTGAAATGAAGTAGGGAGACCTTAAAAATCCTGATAGGTCATTTGCTCGAGGTATTTCTTTATTTGGTTGAAGTGATTTGTAGTCTTGAAGCTCTCTTAAATTTCTCAGGGTGGAGAACTACTGCTCTCTGAGAAGCATTCGCTTGGTACCATAATTAGATGCAACAGTTGCTTTTCTGTTGATAACTATAGTGCTTCATCCCTTAATTACTGCATTTATTCCATTTTGTATGCAATTGAAGCTATTTGTGTGCTTATCTGACTAGCGCTGTGTACCTAATAGATAATGAGGTTGTCGAAGTCAGACACAGAATTTCATTTACTGATATAATTCCCATGGTGTTTAAGACAAAATGTATCGAAAACTATTTTCTGAGTTAAAATTACTGGAACCTTCCAGCAGAAGGGATGTTTCTTATCAGAGTCGTGAAAACACTTAGCTTTTGATTAAAGTCTGATTTGGGCAGTTGCTATTTTCTACCAATTGAACAAAAATTTTAAAAATGTTTACCATTACTGTTATTATAAAAATCAAGATTAAAATAAAGGGGTAAAGTGATTGATAATGATTAAGGAATACTTCCTTTCCTAGAAGACTCCTAAAGAGTGATAAAATTTAAAAGGTCACAAATAGAGGAGTAATTCTCTATCAGCCCTAGGGAGAAAGGTAGAAATCATAGCTCTTTATATATTTTACAAATCTAAATAGATGCATATACAATGGAATCATTTGTCAGAAAATGGATCCACCTTAAGACCATAATGTTAATGGTCTTGTTAATGTGAAAATCAGATACATGAGTTTAGATATTGCATGGTTTATGTTTTCAGAAACCTAAAATATAAATAAATATCAAAATAGAAGATAGATAATAGGAAAAGGGGAGATAAATCTTTTGAAAATGTCAAGGAGACCAAGAAATGGAGGGGGAGATTAAAAATTAAGATGTGTTCTGTACAGATATCACCTCCACATGATGAATGAACTCATTTCGTACCGTAAACATATACTAATGAAGAAATAAAGCCTTCCCTTTTAAACTCATTAGATTTTAAATTCAAAAAGTTCAATATTATTTTTAGAAACCTTGCTTTATTTGCCTTATTATCCCAATTTTATTTTGTTATTGATTTCTAATTTCATCTCATAGTTGTCAGGCCATACAGTACTTGATGATTGAGTTAAAAATTTTTATTGAGACTTGTTTGATCAACTAAGTACTTCCTCCCCCAGAACTGACCCTTTCAGTATTTTGCATTTGGCCATTCCATACGAGTTGGGCATTGTTTTCCCTCAGGTCAGGCAGATCCTCATAAAATTCTCATAGTTTAAAATCTGGTGCATTTGTTTCTCTTGTGAGAATGCCTTATTACAAGCAGAGCACTCTGCTCCATTTCAGAACAAGCCCAGTTCTCCTTACCCTGCTAGAAACTTGAGGGACATGTCCAGTGAGACTCACGATGAAAGATGTGTCAATTTCCTAGATGTATAACTCAGAGAGGTATAATGGCCCGCCTGGGCTTCAGTGTCCTAAAGATTTTTACTCTCAGACTTGTTCCCTCTGAGCTTTCAGTAATTTATAAATTATGGTTCAGGTTTTTCTCCCAAGAGTTTGATTCCCATGGAAGCTTCTTCTCCAAAGTTCCTGTTGCAGTGTGTTGTGATTTTCAGTGTTTGTGTTTCCAATTCAAGACGGCAGTGAGTTGTCCTATTATCTCCCTTTTGTGACAAATCTAGAAAACACTTTTGCCAGCTTGGATAGAAAGACTTTGTACTCAGTTTGAGCTATCCCTTATACTCAGGCAGGCAGTTAGAAATTTTTACTAGCCAGTACTTCCTGTTGATGTAGATTCTCAAAGTCAGTCAGAATTAGGTGTTAAGGTCTTCGCAGGTCTTTTCTGACCAGGCACACGGTTCTGGTAACGGGCACAGATCTAGACACGCTTGTGGCATTTAGCTCACTGCTTTTCCAGACTGCTGCTGGGAGCCACAAAAGTTGACAATTGTCTGTCATTATGTTTGGTAAATGCTCTGAAGAAAAGGTTTCCACAATGAACGATTTCCACACGTGGTCACATAAAGGTTGTCATACGAGAATGTCCTTCCAGGGAGACACCAGACATGTTAAATAATGGCAGGTTTCTGGGCCTGCACTTAAAGAACCTCAATCTCTTTCTCCCTTCTTTTGTGAATTCCAGACTTCTGATTTCCTATGGTTGCAGGTTTTTGGTTTTCAAATCTGTAATAGAGCAGAAGGCAGGAGCACTGGAGAAGATTCGGGATATAGCAGGTTAAAATGCCATAGTATTTGTTGCTCTTAACAAGATTGAGGCAGTTTTCTTTAATAAATTCTCCCCAGATTGCTCAAATGCTATAGTGCAGAGCTACTATCTGTCATCAGAACTCCGTAATTTCTAGAGTTCTCAAAAAATTGATTTTTTTTAAACCAATTTTCCCATTGCTTTTATGTAGGAGGCAATTTCTGGAGGTTTTTATTCCACAAATTTGCTGACACAGCTCTTCTTTCTGTATTAAAATATGTAAATACCAATCCTCAGTTTAATACATTGATATAAGAGTTTTAAGGAAATCTTGGAAAGTTTGCTCAGAGTGACTTTTTTTTACAAAATGTGAAAATTTACTGACAATAAATATGACTTTTTGGCAAAAAGATAACTTCATACATGCAGCTCCAGAAAATTCAAGATGGAAAAAAAGTCAAGGAAGGAAAGATGTGCAGAATTTTAGAAAGATACTTTTAGGAATCAAAAAGAAAATGACTTTTTTGTTGCTATAATATGAATAGGGAACAAAATTTCCAGTATATATTACTGGTTGCATCCTATATATTGTTATATTTTTGTATGTCTCTATTCTGTCACCCTCCAAAGTGTTCAAGTATATTAAAAGAAATAAAAAGCTATCATTTAGTTCTCTACGGGAATAAACTGTTTTAGAAATACAATTTTTTTTTAGAAGACAGCTCTTTTAGCTGGGCCTTTTTATGATCTGGAAAACATATCATTCTGGCCAAACACAACAAAAATATATCTTGATACTTGGGAGTTTATTGCATTATCCCCATAGATTGATAAATCACATAATATTTGGTTTATAGTGAAGATCCAAGTTTTCAGATTGCCTCCTGAAGAGATTTA